CTACTTGTCTCTGTCTCCCTTACTTCTCAGGATAGATTAAACATGCTATTTTAATAATTATTATAATTTTTTAGTAAATTATTGTTATTAATACTTATTTTTTATTTTTTTATTATATAATCGGTTTGACCAGTGACATAACGGTTCAACCAGTAACTTATTGACCTAGTCTCTTTATCGGGTCGACGTCCGGGTCGAGTTTTAAAACTATGCCCCATATCCAATTAAAAATATTTTGATCAGCATTTGATAGGTCCAAGGATGATCTAGAGCTTCTAACTCATTTAGTAAAAACACTCTCATTTGGTAGGCGTATTATGAGAGGATTAAATATTTGATTGTACTATTTTTTATTTAATCGGGTCTAATACTTTGTTTGGTAAGCAAATTTGATACCGTATTAATTTCAAAAATGTATACTAACCATATACTTATCGTATATTTTTTATACGATAGATCTGTATTATAGTGGCCTTTTAATACCCACCAAGAGATGTGGTATTATAATCCAACTCAAGAAATAAAAAAATAAAAAATAAAAAATAATCTAACTCAAACGTATTATTCTACACATTTACTATTATAGCCTCCAAATGATAAAATCAAGTTGTCATCAATGTAACAAACACTGACCGAGGGTATCTTTGTTAATTCAACATTAATACGATGAAATAATTCTTTAATCAAACAATTGATTGAATTAAATAATAATTATTCAACGCTTATAATGTGTATTGTCAAACACTAGATAAAACTATGTATTATTCTAATATCATATTTAATCTTATCTTTAATACGTCTGTATTGTATTAGACTGAACTATTTTATCTAATCCATTTATTTTTAACCCAACAACTAAACGAGCCCTTTCCCATAAATTTTTGACATGCATGGCATTTTCTTGTCCCAATACCCCAATCTGTTCATCAGTTCTAACCGACTCAAAAAACGACTCTCTCTCTTCCTCTCTAGCGCACCAGTCGGTTTCGACGTAAAGCTCAGCGGAATTCTACATCGTTTGGGTTTCAGAAAACTACAATTGAACTGATATGTATTGGGATGACAAATTCTAACGGAAACAATTGGAAAATTTCTTCGTTCCTCACACTTCACTTAGTTCCTCTCTCTCTCTCTCTCTCTCTTCGCCGCACCTTTTTGCCACTCTCACCCACTATTTCTTAATCTTGTTTGGGTCTTATTTAGGCGAACCAATATTCAATTCCTTACCACATTAGCGCTCTCAAACTTAGCTTGCAGCACAACTTCGTCACTGGGAGTTCACTAAAGCACTAGAAGATTGTGATGAACTGCTGAAAATTAAGAGTACCCATTTCAAGAGTCTGCTTTGCAAAGGTAAGTTTTTTGCTTAATCTTGATAGGTATGGTATGTGTTTGAACTGCTTCAAAACAGCTCTTCTTGATTACCAGGCCAGTTTGAACTCTGAAACCCTTGATGGGAACATAAAAAAAATATAAGAAACTAGAGTGTCCGTCAAGAAGAGGGACTTTTGATTGTTTGAATTGTGTTGTGAATTGATGCAAAATTAGGTTTAATTTGTTAGGTACTCATGGAAAACTCATAATCTATGAATTAAATTGATGTGCAACTGATTGATTGTTTGACTTATGGTGTGAATCGTTTCGAAATTAGGTTTAATTCGTTGGTTACTCGTGGAAAAGTCATAACTGATTAATTGAATTGATCTGCAATTGATGGAACTTTGGTATACTTTACTGGGTAATTGACACGGAAAGTTGATTTTCTCTTTCTCTGTATTCTTTAACAAGTGGAATAATTCTTAGTTTTATCATCAAAAGGTTGAAAATTTCCCTTGATTCACATGTGCGTATCCTCGACTTCAACTTTGGTGATTGAACGGGTGATGATAGAACTCACAGATGGGTGTATGTGCCTTCACTAATGTGTGTTTGTGTGTTCTGATGGAATTGCATTGTGTGGAATCGCACATTTAATTAACAGAATAAAGAAGTAGGAGCAAATAATTTAACTTATTTTCTCTTCTATTAATAGAATAAAAGATTACATGGGCAAGAAGTCGATCAACAAGAAGGAAAAATGAAAAATAAATGGGAAATAAGTTTCAAATCACATATAGCTTTCCAATGGGCCCTAATCCAGAAAAAATGGTACCCACAAACTCAAAACACCGAAATCCGAAAAGAAGTCAATTAATATATTATATCAGACAACACTGCTGGCTGCCCCCTTCTCAAATTATATTCAAGGATTTAGTATTTCCTTGTAACCATGTGACCCAAAATGTCACCAATAGTAGGTCTAACAGAATACCAAATCAATCACAAATAAAAAACCCTAGCTCAACATTGCCAATGAAAATACTATCCAAGGATCAAAATATCGTTTTGATACGGTCGAAACGTCCGAAACGTTTTTGTTTTCAAGGAAAGCGAAACAAAACAGTGATAAAATCTAAATTTTGATATTTCGAAGTATTCCATAATGTTTTTAAATGTATTATAATATTTTAATACATTTGCACAATTGTTTTGGAATGTTTCAAGGTATTTCAAGATACTTTGATATAGTTCCATCAATGTTTTAGAAAAATAATTCTTAAATTTTTTATTTTTTTTCATTATGTTTCCGAAACAGGTCAAAATGTTTCCGAAACACGTCAAAACGTTTTCGTTTTCTAGGTGTCCGAAATAATGCACCGAAACGATATTTTGATCCTTGATACTATCCTAAACTAAGTTAACACATCTTTTACACTGTTACGGCTGCAGAACAAATTAGGTCTCCTCTTCTTAATTAAATCATTAATATTTAGTTTCTTTTGAGGCACACTACAAGAGAAAACTCATAACTTCAGGGGATACTTTGCCTCTCTAAGCAACTTAGATAGTCCAAAAGAAGGGGTTCATGGGTCGATTCCATCTCATTCTGGGATAGACAACTAGTACTAATCTAATAAGTGAAGTAGACCAATTGGCTCGAACACCAGACTGCCTGTGACCGCCCATTTTGTCTCGCCCTAAATGGAATGGCTCTCTTAGTTACATTGTGCCCCGACCGAATCCCCACATTCGCTTTTCTTCGCCCACAATCCAAGAAGTTGGCTTTGCCAACACAACAACATTAGGGTTGTCCCCTTCATTCTATACTGACCCCGGTCTAGGTGGCTTTTTGGGAAGCCGGTTCTCACTGCGTTCTTGGCCCGGCCAGCCTACTAGTGGTAGTGGAGTTCTCCCGTTCCCTAGTCAAAGACATGGTTGGATGCAGGATTTACTCCACGAGGAGTGGTATGGACGTAAATGATATCATCATGACCTCTCTTTAATCAAATTAGGAAAGTAGATTAGCAATAAGGAAAAAACACAGAAGAATGAGTTAATCACCTCCTTCTAGTGAACGCCCTTGCTATGGAGTTGAGTTGGAATTTTCGAGGAATAAACTAAAGTGGTGCTAGTCAAAGAACGGAGTCAGGGTTCCATTCTAGAGGGGCAAATATGAACAAGAAAGTACCAAGTGATATAAAAAAAGTTGAGTTTAAGCATTATAAATTTTGTAAGACGCAAGAGAATAAATCAAAGCAAAACACTATGTTCTTTCAAATCCCAATAATCATCTATAGTTCTTTGTTTAATAATATTTTTTTAAAAAATTAATGTATACAATTAGAGAGTTTGTGATAAAATCATTAGTACTTCTGTTGTGATGCCTAATTGTGATTATATTCCATCTTGTTAAGAACTTAATTCTTTGGAAAAATAGAAAACTCTCGTTTGGGTTATGGCATTTTACTATTTACATTTAATCATGTTTTACTAGGTTACGAGCTACTAACTTACTAGAATGAGTTGGGAGCAACTTGGCATTTTTTTATTTTTTTTGAAGTAAGGGTAACGTATGCAATAAAAAACAAGCATTATCTTTGGTCAATATATATAAGTGTTAGGACATATCACATTTGTTTCATGTTTGTCCAAAAAAAAAAATGTTTGTTTTATTGGATTAAGGGGCCAATAATGTGCCACTAAATTACTACATGGAAAAAGAATAGGGTCCCTGTATAAATATTTTAAAATCAGAGGTAAATGCATTAAGCAGAGGAAAATCATGGTCTTTGAAACAATACATATTTAGGAATTCCTAAAAGTTCAAAGTGGGCAAGTGCCACCCCACCCATCAATGTGGCTCCGCCACAGGTGCTAGTAGTTGATTTAGAATTTGAGAACAAATTGGGTTGAAACTATAGAGTAAAGGGGTCAGAGAAAAAATGAAAGAGAGTGTGTAGTAGAGATAAAGAAGATGGGATTGTGGTTCGTGGATTATCAAACTTATAATGGTGGAAGTCTTGCCCCACCCTAGGGCCCAAGGAGGGGGATTGATTAGTTTTCTTTTCTTTTTTCTTTTTTGTTGTAATAATAGATCATTTTTGTCTTTGAAGTTAGTTCATTTTCTCAAATTTTTGGATAGTTTGAAAATTGGGAGAAAATTGTCTCAAAAAATGGCTTTATTCATTGTATCTGGCTGTCTGTTGGGTCTTCTGGCTGAGAAAGATGGAGTATAATTCTGAAGTTTCCAAAGGAATATCTGCTTTTTCCCCATATCTCACCTTTGGGCTTATGGGGCTATGTTTGATCAAACAGTCGCCACAAACATAGAAAAGACAATGAAATTAGTTACAAGGCAATATAAAATCGAAAAGGAGCTTGTACATGTATGTTAAAACTTATATTGGGTAACTTTTGGGTGTTGCTAAAAAGAATAGTTTTAATGTGTTTGTTGTCACTTAACTTAAGCTGAAAGTAGCTTAAGGAAGCCATAAAAAGCTGCTTTTAAAAAGCTGGTCAGGAGATGTTTTTGAAATCATGTACTTGGAGGATACTAGAAACTAGAAAGAAACCATGGATATTTTAATTGACAGATGCTATAAAGTAAATATTTCTTTCTAGCTGATCTTATTTTGTCTTTGCATATTTGTGACAATTGTTTGATCAATTGTCATCCTTATTTTGCAGTTGGGAATCGTAAGATGGCAAACCAAGTTCAAACCATTTTCCTTGAAGAATGGCTGAGGAGCAACAGTGGTAGCAGCATCAGCAGCTCAATACAATCTTCCTCCTCTTCAGCCAGAGCTATTATTCAAGCATGGGCTGATCTTAGGGACTCCCTTCAAAATCAATCTTTTCATCCACATCACCTCCAATCTCTAAAGACCCTCCTTAGCTCCCAGATGTCACTTTATGTTGCAGACCCACAAGCAAAGCTTTTACTTTCTATTCTATCATCGTCAAACCTATCTCTTCCCCGCGAATCTCATCCTTTATTTCTTAGGCTTCTCTATATCTGGGTGAGGAAATCATCCAAACCATCTTCTCTGGTTGTTGATTTTGCTGTTGAAATCCTATCTCGCCTTTTCTCTGCGCAGTTTGGTTCTAATAAGAGCTCTTTATTTTTCGCTGAAGGAGTTCTTCTTCTGGGTGCTTTTTCTTTTGTGGCATCTACTTCTGAAAGGTCCAAAGCTGTTTGCTTGGAATTACTCTGTAGGCTATTGGAAGAAGATTACCAATTGATTGGCTCCTTTGAAGGACTTATTCCCATTGTTCTTGCGGGGCTTGGATATGCTCTATGTTCTCCTGGGAATGTTTATTTTGTCAGAATTCTGGATTCTTTGTTTGGAATTTGGAACAAGGAAGGTGGCCCTTCTGCTAGTGTTTCTCATGGGCTCATGATACTGCATTTGATCGAATGGGTTCTGTCTAATTTCATTAATTCAAATTACTTGGACAAAATAAATCTTTTTGCTAGAGAAACTTTGGAAACTAGAAAGCCAACATATGCTTCATTTGCTGTGGTCATGGCTGCTGCAGGAGTACTAAGGGCTTCCAGTAGATCTTTATCAAGTAATCTAATGCAAATAAGGGTCTCTGCTGAGAAACAGATTGAAATTGTAGCAAGAGATATAATTTCTAAATCCCGGGGTCTTACTATTTCAATTAATGAACCTGGAAACGGTCATATTCTACACTGTATATCATTAGCTTTGGCTCGAGGAGGTTCTGTTTCTCCCCAGCCCGCTTTGCTTATGTGTCTTGCTTCAGCATTATTGACTGAAATCTTTCCCTTGCAACGTTTCTATTCAAGCATACTTGAATGTTTTCATGGAAATCCGGCAGGACGGGGGCTTAAGGAGGTTAAAGAACACATGGACAGTGCAATTTTTAAGGAAGCAGGAGCTGTAACTCGTGTTTTTTGCGCACAGTATGTCTCAGCCGATGAAGGGAGCAAGAGTACAGTGGAGAATCTTATCTGGGATTACTGTCAAGATGTCTACTTGTGCCATCGGCAGGTAGCTTTGATGCTTCGAGGCGTGGAGGATGAGTTACTTCTGGATTTAGAGAAAATTGCTGGATCTGCCTTCCTTATGGTGGTTGTTTTTGCTTTTGCGGTCATGAAACATAGGTTAGACTCGAGGTTCAAACAAGAAACTCAAATGGAGGTTTCAGTTAGGATATTGGTTTCTTTTTCTTGCATGGAGTATTTTCGGCGGATGCGCTTGCCAGAATATATGGATACAATTAGAGGGGTGGTTGTAAGTGTTCAGGAGAATGAATGGGCTTGTGTCTCATTTGTTGAATCCATGCCACCTTATAATCATTTGACAAATCAACAGGGTAAGAAACCATTACTATTGCGTATTTCATGATCTAAGCAGTAGTAGTATAAATGCTTTCGTTGCACTTAGATCATTTTTTTTGCCCTCTAGGCTCTTCCAGCTTGCACAAAATGGAATATATGTGGTTGAAAGATGAGGTGCAGACGGCTAGGATCTTATTTTACCTACGGGTCATTCCAACTTGTGCTGAACGATTACCGGCTTCTGTATATAGAACGGTGGTGGCTCCGATTGTGTTCTTGTATCCTACATTGAATAACTAGTTCTATATTCAGAAGGAAGCTGTATATTTATAGGTTTGTAAATAATGGTTCCTTACATAGTTGATTAGATGTATGGGACATCCAAATGGGAAAGTGGCCCGAGCATCACATTCGATATTTGTGGCTTTCATATCTTCTGGAAAGGACTCTAATCAGGATGAAAGAGTTTCATTGAAGGAGCAACTTGTTTTCTATTATATGCAAAGATCGTTAGAGGTATCTAAACTGCTAAACATATGCTTGAACTTTGTCATCAAAGAGTAGGTGCTAAGCTTGCCTTTTTGATGGAATAACAGGGATATCCTGGGACTACCCCTTTTGAGGGAATGGCTTCTGGAGTTGCTGCGATTGTTCGACATCTTCCTGCTGGAAGTCCTTCTATATTCTACTGCATCCAGAGTCTTGTTGAAAAAGCTAGTAGCCTCTGCAATGAAGTTGTTATGACTCGTGAGAATGATCTGTGGAAGAACTGGCTAGGAGAGTCAGAGCCTTGTAAGAAAGTTCTTGAGTTGCTTTTACGGCTCCTCATTGTGGTGGATATACAGGTAAGCTGTGGTTCATCTTGTGTATAATTTATATGTGCGCAAGTGCTTGGGTTTTTTTTTACTTTTGATTTTTTTTTTTTTTTTTTTTTTTCATTTTTGGGTCACTGATATAGCTCATAGGGGTCCTTCATAAAGTGTGATGTTGAGGAATTCTTAGGAATCAAGGAGGAAGAGATGCATCTATGCAAGCAATATACCTTTGTAACATTGCCTTGGGATAGCTGTCGGAAAGATAGACACAATTAACCATTTGGCCAGGACACAATTTGTAGAAGATAACATCTACAAGTGCTGTTTTTTTCAGGTCCTGCCGAGTTTGATGAAGTTATTAGCACAGCTGATCGTCCAACTGCCCAAAGATGGCCAGAATATGGTTCTTAACGAGTTATATGCACAGGTTGCTGAATCTGATGATGTTACAAGAAAGCCCACGCTAGTTTCATGGCTGCAGTCATTGTCTTACCTTTGCTCTCAATCTACTAGCAGAAGAGCAACCAAAGAGGCGGGGCGTGAAGTCAATGCTGCTTCTACTTGGAATATTGTTACACTAGGCTTGAATAGAATCAATGCACGACTCTAATTGAGATGCAAATTTTGGGTATACGACTTTTTTTGTAGACTTCAAAATATAACTAAATAAATCAGGAAGATAATTATGTTATTATTGTACACGTGTATTTCTTGTTCATTGTAATAATGCAATAAATGGAAGAGGATAATTGTTCATACATGTGGAAGTGATTTTCTTGGACAGACTGTTGTCTCCTTATTTCAGTTGTTCATTTCTTTATTTCTATATAGAGGGGTAATTTATCATTTCATAATATAGCTGTGCAATTTGAGCTTGCGTCAAATGTCTGCTGAACCTTGAAGGATGAGATGCCATAGAAATTGGCACCACAATCAAGGACTGATTTTTTTTTTTACTAATGTTTTCATGGAAACTAAAACGAAAAAATGATTGAATATTGAAATTCTCAAGTTTTAATTTGTTTCGAGGGGTTTCACATTGATTTAAAAACAAAATTTCAAAATTTTTTAGTTTCTATTGTTTTCGAAACATTTCGTATTCGATGTAGTCGGGACTAAAATCAAATTATGATCCTGGATCATATGCAGTATTTGGGTTCTTTCCCCTTTGGTTTTTTTAAACAAAAATATTGCAAAAATGGAGTTTCATCAAACTTTTACCTGCTGGCCTATGCTGGGAACTTGGGTGCTGTAGATTGGCAGCTCTGTGTTGTATCCCATCTTTTACTAATTACGATTTTTTAAGAAAAATTTTAATTTTATTTCAATAAATGATACAATAAAACATGAATTTTAGTTGTAAAATTTAAAATATTTGATATTTTATCTTTGATTGAAATATTTTTTGTTTAAGTATAACATTTTAAACTGAAGAGTCTATGTATTATACACCTACAAAACTTCAAGAAGTCTAGGTATGATATACTAACGGATATATTAACGATGGTAAGGGTCTAAATGTTATGCGTGTACAAACTTTTAAGTGTCTATATGTAATATTTTAATGTCAGGAGGTCTGAGTGATTAAGTGACAAACCACAAGGGTCTAGGTGTAATTCTGCCTTTTTCTTTTTTTAACAACTTGAAAAGTTTCAGTTGCACAGATAGTGTGGATGAATATTATTTCAGTGCAATTGAAATACATATTATTTTTTGTTGCTGACTTAAAAGAGAAGGTGGTCTTTTCTGTGCAAATTATGATTACAATCAGAAATAAGAATTGCCTCTAACTCAGCTGGGGGGCAGCCAACCCAATTTGGTGGGAGAGATTGGGTAATGGTGGCTGCTGTTACCAAATCTGCTGCTCGGTTTGAAGTTCTCTGGGTGTGTGTGTGTGTTTTTTTTTTTTTTTTTGTGTGGGGGGGGGGGGGGGGGGGGCGGAGCCCCTTCCATAGTGCTGAGGGATATGACTTCTGCATTGTCACTCTCGATAATGGCCGTTGCAGTTGCAACATTATAGCAAACAAACAACCTTCCCTAACTGCGAGTGACTCAAGAGTAACTAATAGAAACCTCTGGGACTTTTTTGGCCCTCCCTTCCAACAATATTCCCCTCTCTCTCTCCCGTTTCTTAACTATAACACCCACTCACAACTCAGTTTTTTTTGCCTCTGAGCTTGGAGGCTCAGCTGCTCTGAAGTTGTTGTAAAAATTAACTCTCCTAAATTGGTTAATAACATTTACCTGTTATTAATTGACTAGACAAGGCTAAGTAATTACCTCTTTACCCTTCTCGTTTCTCAATAACATTTATTCTCTTTTTTCACTCTCGTTTTAAGGCTCTGTTGAGAAACTGTGAAGGCGCGCTGAAAACATCTCGGCTGCTGATCTCTGGTAAGTGTCACACTCTCTCTCTCTCTCTCGACCAAGATGGAAGCAAATTTGGCTCACTGTGGAGATCCAGATCTGCTTCGATTTCATGGTTGATGGTAACTAGTGGTTTTGTCGAGTTGGGCCAAAATTTGATTTTGTTTTGTTTTTTTGGATTTTGTGGGGTGGTCTATTCAGATTTTTCCATTTTTTTTAATTGTGTAGTTGAGTCGATTATACGATTTATATTTATGTAATGTGATTTTTTGATGAACCTAACAATTGAATTGGTGATGTTTGATGCTGCTAGTCTTTTTTCGTTGGTTTAAGTTTTGAAGAAGGATTTGAAAATTCATTAATGGCTTAGGAAAGGTTAATTATGGTTGTTAATTTGTGGAAGTTCAAGAGTGTTGTACAATTGAGATTGAAAAAAAGAAAAACAAAATTTGATTTGGGTGTAGGAGGAGTGGCGTCTGCAAGTTCAGAAAAGGGTAACATTCAAGAGATTTTGTCAAAAAAAAAGTTCCAAAATAATTTCATCAATTTTTGATTCAAACAGAAGATATGATTGAATTGGTTAAAGGGTGTAATAGTCAAAATATATCATATTATTATTTTTAAAGCACATTTGATAGTGGGTTTCACGAACATGTAAAATTGGTTTATCAAACATTGACATAAATATATATTCAATCCAAATACGAGCTTGAGCGGGTTCGGTTTAAATAAGCAAGGTTATATTTTTGATATTCTATCCAATCCACTCCGAGCATCTAAACACACCCAAGGTATCTAAATCCATTGAGTCGAATAAGTTTATAGTATCAAGATTTTAGTTTTTAGTATCATAGCAAAAAATGATTGTCGATCATCCATTTAATTTTGAATTATTTATAATCATTAAAATTTGATGATTCACGAGATTCTATAATTCACACTAAATGTCACATTTCACTATTATGTTAATAGCGAAAATAAAAGTAATGCTACATGGATTTAAAAAGTAAACTTAAAAATTAGACTTGATAATCTTAACCATTGAATAAGTAGTAGGTTCTAATAAATGCTAGTACCCACAGTGAAATCAATGATTGAAATTATTAAATTTAATTTTTAAATTCACGTAACATTACTAAATAATAAAATACAAAGAAACAAAACATAAAATTTGCACGTGTCACTTTGTGATTGGTAAAAAAAATCACACGAAAAAGTTAGTACAATATTGGTCACCGTCATGCATATGTGACAAGCAGACTAACCATGCGAGTTTTTCGATGGTTCTTGTATTTTAAAATTCTTTTTTTTAAATTAATATAATTTCAAACTTATTTTTTAAATTCTATATACTTGGGAGAATGTTATTTGGATTGATGTTTTAACTACTGCATATTGCCGATTTCACGATAGAGAAATTGATCCACAAGTCTAAAAAATATTAAATGTAACCATCGCGTCATACCATAACTCTCACATTGGTGTCATCACATAATAAAAAAATGATAAATTAACAAATAGATCCGATAAAATTCAATAACTACCCCTTCACGTATCACAATAATTATCTCAAGTAAAATATTAGGGTTTAGTTTGTTCATTTAATTAATAATTATAAGAATATTTGTGTGATATAATTAATATTATAACATTTTTATTGTTGTAGATGTTTAAGTTGCTAAAATATAAACTTATTTTTTGGGTAGATTACATGATTTGTGGTGAACTGATGATCTATTGGAGCAGTTATGATTTTAATGTGTTTCATATGATTTAAACTTAAAATAATTGTGATTGTATTTGTGTAACAATTATGATGAATTAATGTTCATGTTTTATTGTGTTTTATTATAATTGTTTTAGATTTTAGTTTTTTTGATTTATTGAGTTCTTAAATTGGTGCATGTTATTTAATTGAATTGTTAAAATGATCCAAAAAATAATAGTTTCAAAAGTGTTTATCCAACTTCCTATTCGATTACTTGGGTAGGAAGTCGAGTAGGAATACCATACCTGATCGAGCAGGATAGGCCAAGAAAAAATTCTTCCAGAAAGTATCAGGTAGAAAGACGAAAGACTATATTTCATATCTGTAAAGTAGTGTGAACATCCCTACATGTCGGTGATAATGATTAATGTGTTATCACTGTTATATTGAATATTTTCATAGAATACGGTACTCTAAATAATGTCTTTGAAATCATCATTTCAAAACGTGTTTTCTTTGTTTATCCACTATCTTCTTCATTTATGTGTTGCTTAAAATGTCATTCTCGATGCGAATTTCACATTAAAGATATCATTTGAAATGTTGTTTTCATAAATTATTTTGGCTTGAAAATTATTTTTGAAACAGTATAACTTCGGAGAAAAAAAGTATTTTAATGCATGGTGGGATAAGAAAAAAACTCCTAAGATTGCCCTTTGGACCGCCCAAACCTTGATTACGTTGCAAGATACAAGAATTAGCAAAGAACCTTTGGGGGCTCCAAGTAACAAGCTGCCGACCGGCAGCCGACTATGTTGAGGCGTCGAAGCATGCAACGGTTGGAGGAAAGGTGTTATGGGGAGATCCTAGGCACAAGTGCCGGCTACCAGCTTCTAAGGCACCCAAGTGCCGGCCGACAGGCACCTAACTATGGCCCTGGGAGGTACTTCGCTATCATCCTCTATTTGTCTATCTCTATTAGATGAGTTTTACTTAAATATGGTATAACCAAGGGCCAAGAGCTCAAATCAAACACTACTCTAAATATATAGGAGTTGGAGATATGACAATTAAGAATAAGAGTCTTAGTCTCACACTTTTCCGAATTTTGAGGACCTGATGATGAGCTTGATCCTATCATTACCTAGAGTTCTAGTTCCTTTGGGACCTATCATAAATAAAGGCCTCTGAGTACCAGGTAAGAGCATTCAATCTTAACCTATTCACTACATATTTTTCTTGGACTTGCGATCTGACTTAAGTATAGGAATACCTTTAACCGCCTCCGGCCATCGGTTCACCTAACTTTCGCTTGTACTCTTGCAGGTCACTCAAGATTTCCTTACCGTCATCTCCGTCCATACTAGGTGATAACTCCTTGTGCAGAATTCTCTCCGAGTCATGTCATGCGAAAGAAGCCACGACCCAAAAACAAGTCACACGGTACTTTATTCCCTCCAATTTTAGAAGATCCTTTGGAGCATGACACCCAATTGCCTGAGGGACAACTACCTCAAGTTAGACTCGTGACCGAAGACGAGTATCAAGAAGCAATATGGAAGAAGACAGAGGAGATAGAAGTTCTCAAGCAGTGTTATCAGAATCGGACTGGACCAGCCAGTCGAACCAGTTCAACCGTGAACCGGGACCCTAACCGGTCTGGTTCCTTAGTTGAACCGTCTAAGGAAGCGAACCGGCTAAAAATCAAAAAATCGGTCAATTTTTAACAAAAATCGTGAACTGCCGGTT